ATGGTTTTGAGAAAGAATAAATAATCTCTACTCAATACGCTTAACCAAGAGATCATAACCAAACAAATAAATGAAAAGATTAATAGCCCCACTATCCAAGAGAAAATCATGCAGTTTAAAAATAAATTTGAAAAGAAAATTTGTGCTGATATTACAAATGCTTTTTGGGAAAGAAAAAAACATATTGTTGAATTACCTTATGAACCGGATTTCAATGAAAAATTTATTCCTACAAAATCTCGACCAATTCAAATGAATAGTAGACACTTGGAAATCTGTAAGAAAGAAATACAAGACCTCCTTGATAAAAAATTAATCAGAAACTCATATTCTCCTTGGAGTTGCATAATATTTTTTGTGGAAAAGACTTCAGAAAAGGAAAGAGGAGTGCCCAGACTTGTCATCAGTGCATTGGCAGGTGCACGTGAGTGGCGTGCTATGTGGACTCCGTGGAATATAGTTGATGTTGTATGTGTCAAAACTTTTAAGAAGTTACAAAAGTTCGCCCTTACTGTTCGAAATTGCCTTTACTGTAGGTAAATGTGCCGATTTATCGCTAGCGAATTGCGCCGATTTATCTCTGCAAATCGACAGGTTGTCTTCTAGACATGTCCGATTTTCTCAGTTATAAACAAAAATCGGCATGGGATTATCGATTTCGAGTCGAATTGGCCGAGATTATCGATTTTCGAGCAAGAATCCGGCACGGGATTGTCGATTTAGAGTCGAATTGGCCGAGATTATTGATTTTCGAGCAAGAATCGGTACGGGATTGTCGAATTGACCGAGATCGCTGCAAATCGGTCGGTTCGCTTCTAGACACGTCCGATAACCGATTGATTTCCCAAAGTTTGCCCTTACCGTTTGAAATCACCTGTCACTGTAGCGACCGATTTCCCAAAGTTTGCCTTTACCGTTTGAAATCGCCCGTCACTGTAGCAAACTGCATCGATTTATCCGTTGCATTATCACTGCGTGTCATTGCGCCGATTGATCGGCTGCAAATTAGTCGGTTGTCTTCTAAACATGTCCGATTTTCTCAATTATAAGCGAGAATCGGCACAGGATTATCAAGTTCTGAGTCAAATTGGCCGAGATCGCTGCAAATCGGTCGGTTCTCAATGATACTTCCAAAACTACCTGATTTTATATCACATGGTCGTGATCTCAAAGTAAATAGTCTCATTGGATACATTTTGTTATGTTTTTGTTTGTCCTACTAGCTGAGAATTTGATTAGTCTTGGACGTAAAAATGGGAAGGACCTCATGGATGGATGTTTTAATCGTTGAGAGGTGAAGAACTGTAATGAGTAATTGATCTATAAGCTCCAGCACAGCGTTGCCTTGTCAAAGATGGAGGAAATATAGCTTTTTTGAAAGTTCTATCACTAATTCATATTTGAAAAAAGTTTATATACCTTTATGGTACAAATCTTGGTGATGCAATGCAGAATGTAGAGTGGCACTACTTGTGACTTGTGCACGATGCAAACAGGCCCTTAGGTGGGGTTTTGACCCAAATGTTGAGGCCCGGGGACTTTGCTTAAAATAACCTAATATGAAGGCTTAAATGGAAAATTATTAGTAAAATGGTCTAACAACCCCAAAAGGTTAAAGAGGTGGTTCAATCAACGGCTTTACCAATAATAAAGTGGTCATTGTTTTAAAATTATGTCATTTATGTGTGCTGTGGTTTCCATAAGGTTGCAACGTTAAACAATCCAAATAAGGCGCACTTCCAAATTTTATCATAATATATAATTTTATTTTAAAAAATTCTTAGGATTATCTCAAAATCTATTTTCATATCAAGTTAAAAAATTTTGAACTTCAAAAAAAGTTAAAATCAAGTAGATCTATAAACATATGAAAATTTTGAGAATGGACGATGTAGATAATATATATATTGCAAGATATGCTATTTTTGGGACTCAAATTTTTTATTTTTTATTTTTTAATATTCATATATCTCAATGTCAAGATGATCAATTAGTGAGTTTTTCAACATTAAAAAAACATTTTTTGATGTATTTTTGAAGTGCATCTTTACTTCTAGATTTTAAGGTTGAAACCTTATATAAACTTTTTCCTTTATGTATATATCTTAATATTTATGTTGGAAAAAGCCAAATTGCTCTTATTTAACTCTTAACAGATGAGGCCTTTTTTATTTTTATTTGTTAAAGTCGATTGAGTCAAATGCCTGAATACCCTACTTGTTCTAGTTTTACAAAATATTCCTAGTATGGAACTAGAGCAAGAGGGGGCATTGTTGTATAGAAAATAATTTGATAGGACTGCAGCCCTATCAAAATAAGTAAAGCCTCACTCATAACTTATTAAAAAGTACGGTTTAAGTATTAAAAAATCTTTACATCAATCATCTCGGATGGAACATTATGGTTATGAAAAATAATTAGGATTTTAAGCTCTAAAAATAGTGTATATTGTAACAAATTATCTAGACTATCGCTTTCACCCTAAAAATCAGTGCTTTAAAAATAATTAGGACTTTAAGCTCTAAAAATAGAGTATACTGTAACAAATTATCTAGACTATCTATTTCACCCTACAAATAAGTGCTCATATCCACAAGATCATTGCCATTTTTTGAGTTCAAATCCTATTGTCAGTGTTGAAAATTGTTTTTAGATCCATAATGGATATTTCTATATTTGCCGAAAGTGCTTTCCAAATTGGGATTTGCGGTGAGGCTTTATTTTGTTTCCATCAAGCCTAGGCCTTACACAAACCTCAAGTAACTTGAGCCAAAATACCCTTGCTTTTGCAATGTTCCAAACCTTAAAACAATATTTTTAGGGCATGTTTGATAGCTAGCTTCGAATTACTACAGTAATTTTTGTGTTTTGTGAACGGGAAGTGTCGCATTGTTTTAGAAGCTACTACTTCCCAATGCTTCCAAAACAATGTTAAAATGTGCTTAAATGGGGAAGCCGTTCCTTCCATGCTACTTTTATGGAAGCTGCAGATTTTGAAGCTAGTGGAGTAGGTAGTTTTGGTTGCAACTACTTAGGGTTGTTGATAGGCCTAGGCTGGCCTACGGGCTTTCAGGTTGGGCCTAGTTTTGGTGGGGTTTAGACCACATGTTAAGGTCCTTGGCCAGGCTTGGGCTGAGGTCTAGTAGGCTTGAAACATTATGGCCTAGACAGGGCTAGCATTGGCCTAGCACAAGGCTGTGTTGGCCCTCTGGTTTTTAGGCTGTTCCTGGTTTCAGGCGGGGTTCATGCCACATGTTAAGGTCCCTAGGCCAGGGCTAAGCTGGGTGTTGGCAGGCCCAAAATATTTTATGGGCTTGGCATGGGCAAGCACTGGCATGGCTTGGTCATGTGTATATATTACAATTTTTCCCTAAAATATACACGGTCCCCCTAGCCCCGTTTTTGTTGTGTTGGGCCTCATTAGCATGAATTTGGGGTAGGGCTGAATCTAAAGGTTAAGGTGTAGGTTTGGCCCAAGCCCATCCTACATAGTTTCGAGCCAAGGCTTGGCCTAGCCTAGCCCAAGCCCGGATTGTTAACAACCTTGCACTTCTTCCTCCAATCAAACACACCCTTAATGTAGATGACATATTCTAGGTTCAGAACCAGGAAGGTATTTAGACCACTTGGCTTGAGTAGCTTCAGTTAATGTCACATGTTAGCCTCTATCATCTATTCTTGAATGGATGACTCAAAGGTATTTGAATTGCAATATTTTTTTATCATCTATTCTTGAATGGATGACTCAAAGTATTTGAATTGCAATATTTTTTTTACATATCGTCTTGAGGTGAAATTTGTGGTGTTTTCCCTTCTCTCTAGGGCACACCTTGATAAAATAAGAAAAAATATTTATAATAATAATAAATGATTTAAACATCGTTGTAATCTATAGGAGCATATTGGTCATTTTCATTACCAAAAATATTCTTTTATTATTTTTATTAAGCGCAGCTAGTGAGAATGGGGAACCTCTAAATTTCATCTCAAAATGATTTGCATCTAGTGGGAATGGGGATCCTCCAAATTTCATCTTAAAATGATTTGCAGATAAAACTAAAATAAAACCATGTTATGCATGACATTGTGATTGAAATTGCCTCATGTGACCTCCATTACGTCAGATTGCTAAGATTAGGATTCATGAATATTTGTTGGTGGGCCCGCATAGAAGGGTTTAAAATAGGATGCCTGCGGCTCACAATCTTTTAAGCAATGGTTCACACGTGTGATTCTTCCATTAAAAGTCTATTCAACTAGGGCCAGGGCCATGAGGACTAGGCCACAAATGTGCCTCCATGGCATGAGGTTAAGGGCCAGGCGGTTGAGGTTTGGCCAAGCCTGGGCAAAGGCCACGACAATGTTGGTCCCATTTGGCTTGGCCCAACTTAGGGGTCGCAATGGACCTGACCAAACCCCGGACCTGACGGATAGACCCGATCTCGGGTCCAGATATGGGTATAAATTTTGGACCTTCGGTCCTGAATACTATTCGGGTCTGGGTCCAGCCGGACCCGATCTATGCCCATAGTGGGTGGATCATGTGTCTTTAAACGCATGCTAGATGTTCATATTGTCACAACATTAATAACATTTATAGTATTGTTGGCAAAAAAAACAAAAAAAAAAAGAAGCTTATAGTTATAGGATAAATGATGGTAAAAAAAAGGCAAAAAAAACAAGCTCATAGTCATAGGGTAGTAACAAGACCTGGGACCAGACTGCTTCAGATATGAGAGTCCAAATTTTGGACCTGAATACTATTCGGGTCTGGGTCTAGCCGGATCCGACCTGTTGCCACCCCAAGCCCAACCATATTTCTTTTTTTTTTTTCTTTTTTTTTTATATTATTTTAGGACTTTTTTTGGCCCTGCCTAGGCGTGGGCCAGCCTTGTGTGGACAACGGGCTGCCTAGGGTCACGGCCGCCCGGCCCATTGTCAGGCCCTATATTTTCAGGATCGTATTATTGTCAATGATTCATTGATGTCTCAAAGGAATCCCAAAATTTAACCGAAGTTATCATGCGAGAGCGTTTATGTCAATTGCTCCAAAAACTAGGGCATCGTCATTAGTCCTAAAGCCATAGGAAAGGCGCCCAACAAAATTTTGGTTTTACTTTCTTTCTCGGCCAGGCAACTTCTCTCTCTGCCATGGCCACTGTATCTTCGCCTCTTGCCCCTAACAATAACAACAGTAATGGAAATCCCAATGCAAATGGAAATGGCAATGGCAATAGCAATAGCAGCAACATTAAGAGCGAGAGCACCGCCTCCACCACGCTACGCACCAACCTTCCGGCCACAACCACCACGCCACGACCTAACCTTAGGGGACTCAACAAACCCAAGTGCTCTCAGTGCGGCAACGTTGCCCGTTCAAGGTCTCTCTCTCTCTCTTGAAATGGTGTGGTGAAGCCCCCTTCTTTTCTCTTTCATTTGTTTTTTAGTTGCCCTTAAAAGGTCCTCTATCTCTCTCGTTGTGGATTTAATTCAATTTTATCCTCATGAAGCACTGACTTTTATTATTTGATCAGGGGAAATCTTTATTACTTCTCTTCTTTCGTAAGGTTCTATTGTCTGGTATTTTCCCCATTTTCCTTTGGGAAAAACCCTTTGTGTTGGGGCTATAGGAACTGTCTATGGTGTGTGGATTTAAACTTCTCATAAAGAGGTTCACTGTGACAAAGTTATTTCATTTTAAGGGATTCTTTCGACAATTTGACCCATAAAGGGATGCTTGTTTATCAGTTGAACACTGGTAAAAAAAAATGAATAAATGATTATTATGGGGATTTCCAAATGGTTCTCATTATTTTTTAGCTACTAAGTGTGATGATATCTGAGACTTCTTAGTTGATGGTATCTGATTTTAGGTGATGAGCCATGAAAAGTTAAAGGGTATAAATATTTTTTTACCAGTGCACAGAGGCATGCATAACATAGTTTGATGTTGATTCTGAAATTTGAAGATTGTAGTTTAAGTTTCTATTCTACTTGGTTTTATCTTTTTTGGAGGGAGGCTCTAGAATCGAGAGGTTTTAAAATTAGCCAGACTAAAATAGAATATATGGAATGTGAGTTTAGTAATAGGATTAGTGACAAGGTAGTAGTTAAAATTGACAGTCAAAAAATACTAAAAGAGCGAATTTTGATATCTTGGGTCAATAATCTAAGAAATAGAGAGATTAAGGAAGATGTCTCATATCGAATTAGAGCTCAATGGGTGAAATGGAGATGTGCAAGTGGAGTTTTAGGTGACTACCGCATACCAATGAAGCTGAAGGGCAAGTTCTATAGGACAACTATGAGATGTGTTTTGCTTTATGGGGCGGAATGTTAAGAAGCAACATACCCATAGGATAAGTGTAGCTGAGATGAGGATGTTGAGATGGATGAGTGGCAAGATAAGAAGGGATAGAATTAAAAATGAATACATTTGGAAGAACTTAGGTGCAGCTCCAATAGACAATAAGATGAAAGAAAGTAGACTTAGGTGGGCTGGCCCCATGTGCAGCCAGACCCAGTACAACACCTGTTATTTTTTTTGGGGGGGGGAGGACAGGGTCCATACACTTACTGGGCCTGGGCCTGGGCCTAAGTGAAAATAAAGTGGTGGGCCTACCCATCCCAACCAGGGGTATGCTGGGATTCGCGAAGAGTAGCACCTTACTTTCGTCGATCCTTAAAAAAAGAAATAAGAAAATTCCATCGAGGAGTGAAAAATAGAAAATTCATGGAAAATTGCAATCCCCACCACGTAATAGTGCACCTATACGTCTTCATCGAAGTTGTTTTTCGATCGGAAAGCTAGACACTTAGCTACATCCGCCCGCAAAAAAAGGAATGTGGTTTTGGCTTTCTTTCTCTAATGGCGCAGGACATTCGCGAAATTTGTGCCATCCGTACCACCACAAGATTGGTCATTCTTGGGCTGATCCTAGCAGTCGCAAGGCAAGCAATGAGCAAAGCCCCAACGAGTTTAGTCGTTAGCGCAATGAGCCCAATAGAGAGAGACAATGCTTTGCAATGTGAGAGTTTGTTCAAGTTGAAGGCTCAAAAAGGCAAGGGGTAGTCTCAAAAGGTAATGGTTGGAAGTAGTAAGAAAAGATATGCAGACTTATGGCCTCACTAAGGGTATGACCCTTGATAGGGCAGAATGACAAACCAGGATTTGTATAGTCGACCCCAAATAGTTTTGAAAAAAAGGTTGATGATGATGATGACGATTTTATATTTTGACACTAAATGTATATGTCCCTGCTGAAATTAGAAGTTTGGATATTTTTGTTCTACTTGGTATTTTTGTGACACCAAATCTATATGTGCTTACAATTCACTTGTTCAGACTAAATTTGAATTGAGATTCAAAGATCATCCCAACTCCCTATATTTTATTTCATACCTCTTTATGTTTTTCTTGAGATTTCATCAAGAAGTCATGTTGTAGAGAGAGCTTCTTTATTTCCAATGGTTACCCTTGTGCTCTTCTGTCTTGTACTTGTATTTTGGGGTTGATTGCATTTAAGTATGACCCAGATGCTTTTTCACACAAAAAATTGATAACTCTGCTCTCTATCTTAGTACGTTGTGATTGGTTTCTACTCTTTCTATTTCTAATTGTTGGAGCAAAACAATATGCATGGGGGGTTTAAAGTTATTGCATGCATTTTTGTCTCATCCAAAATAGCGATAATATAGTTTTGTGCTTGAAAAACAAGTAGCCCAATGGAAGAAATGGGATACACATATTTTTCAAAATTTTCAACTAGAAACTTTATTGTTAACCAACATTTTAGAACTCAGCTCTGGATCAGGACTCGACCGGGCTGAAGTTCTTTAAAGTCCGAGTGGACTTGTCTGAGTGGTGCCCAAGTCAACCAAGAGCTCGGGAAATTTTTGACAAAAGAGGGGGAAATCCCCAAAAAAAATGCAAATATGTAATTAATTGAAAATACAGCAAAATTGATGTGAAAGAAAGAAATTTTATGCAAAACAATTGTGTAAAAAAAAGCTTTCTCGAAAAAAAACAATTGTGTAGACAAAGGTTCTGAAATATAAGCTTTTGAAGTGCACAATATCTGTGAAATGCAATCTCACCCCAAACATCTATCCAATACAATAAAATATAACATACATATAGTTGGAAGGGGTGTCAATAGAGATCAAGGTACTTCTGGATCTCTCTATGAGGATGGGGATCCTAGCCACCAAATATCTATGAGATCGAGGGAACAATCTTTAGCCCACCAATGCCTCATTGTTAAACTAGAACCTTGGTCAAATAGGCCCCTAAGCCAAAGTTGTCGAGACTCATCCAGCCCTTATGCGCACTCCTACCTTGGCCTAGGTCTCCCCCCAAACACTTGGGCTATGCTTCTCAGCACTTTGGTTTTGTAGCTAGCTATGTAGCTCACCCGCTGGGTTCTGCTGCCAATAGCCATAGGTCTCTCTCTTGCCCTGTAGTCAACCACTTCAAGGCTCCTCATAAGTGGAGCTCCTACCATCTTGGCCCTCACAACCGTCTACTTGTGCCTCCTACACATCCTCCATGTTGGTCCCCCCCATTTTTATGTCATCAAGCTCATATGACGCTTTTCTTCTAGGGCCCTCTAGTTCACTGTTGGTTCCTCCTGCTCGACTACCCATTCCTCTACAGGGTCTTCCCCCACTTTTATATCATCAAGCTCATTTGACCCTTTTCTTTTAGGGCCCTCTAGTTCACTGTTGATTCCTCCTGCTCCAGTACCCATTCCTCCACAGGGTCTTCAAGGAATATGTAGTTGAGATTGATTGGATTATAATTATTGGCCTCTGCCTCCCTTTTTATCTGTCTCTTCCCTATGTTCAGATTGTGATGGCTATACACTAACTTATGAAGTCCATATAACTCCCATCATTTTGGTGAAAGAAAATAAGATTAATCTGTCAATTAAAAATTAGAAGTACACCACACATACCAGTTATATTTGGAAACACTGACTTATTAGGTTTGTTGGGCCCTGGATCCAATTTTACTCGAGTTCTTCTAGCCATGTTGCTCCCAAAGTCACCTTGAACATCCATATACAAGGAAGCTAGAAAAACAATCTAAGTACTCAATTTACATACTACAACAAAGTAAATAACAACACTGCTTGAATTTGGGTTTGATCATCAAGTTCCAGTCTCTCAATACAGTACCTCACCCTTGCATGATCTCAGGGTGTTGGCTTTGACCCATTTGGTAATAATTTTCCATGTTAAAGAAGAAGCATGCCTACAATGTTAATATAAACACAAATGCACCAACACAAATAACAAATTGAACATTAGAACGTAAAATGAAACTTTAAACATTAGGCTAGGGGTGGCAATGGACCCGGACCCGACCCATACCCACTAGGTATACCCAACACGGGTCCGGCTATGGGTCAAAGTTTTGTACCGACTGGTAGGGTCCGGGTCCAATAAAGGATACCAGATAGTCCCGGGTCCGGGTATGGGTCTTGCTACACTCGACCTGGCAAGTGCCCAGACCCAAATTTTTAGTTTACCCAAAGGCCAAAGCCCCAACCCTAAAATCGTTTCAATACTTTTCGTCTTCCCCTAGCTCCCCAAACGGCCAAACCCCGTTGCCACTCTCCCTCTCTTAGTTTCTTGGAGACATAGCTCTCTCTCTGGATCTTGAATGTCTCTCTCTCTCTAATTGCCCACCCCTAAAAAATTAGTTTTCTGTCGTTCACCATTGTAGGCTACATAAAAAGAATCTCATAGTGAGGGTGGCAATGGACTTGACCAGTCTCAAGACCCAATGGTTCTAGTATGCGTCCAACTTTTGGACCTGACAGGTCAGGTCCGAGTCCAAAACCTAGACCCGGATACATTTGGGTTTGGCCACCCCTACATTAGGCCAATAATTATAAGCCAGTCAACCTCGATTACATAATGCATAGAAGGGGGAGGGGGGGGGCGGGGGTGGGGGAAAGCTCTACTAAGGAGAAGCCCGCAAGAAAGAACACTATAGCTATTGGCAGTAAAGCTCAACAAGGTGAGCAATGTACCCATCAACCCGGTCATAGTGCTGAGGAGTATAGCTCTACTGGTGGGTGGAGACCCCTAGGTCAGGGTGGGGGTGAGCATGAGGGCTAGACGAGTCTTGGTGACCATGGCTTAGGGTCCGGTTTGCCTTAGATTTAAGTTTGGCAGGGAGGCACCATTAGGATAGGACTACTCCCTCTTTCTCATAGGTATTTGGTGCTGGGGACCCCCATGTTGATAGTGACAAATGACACTCCTTTCACTTATTTGTACATAGTGATATTTTGTTGTATTGGACTGATATATGTGGGATGAGTTCGTATTTCAGAGACATTGCATTTTCTAAGAGCTTGTATTTCAGAGCCATGTATACACAATGTTTTTGCACTTTTTTGTTTTTTCATATCATTTTTCTTGATTATGATTGTTTTCAGATTTTTTCTGGATTTTTCACAATTTTTAAATTTTCCCTAGCCCATGGTGGACTTGGACACTTCTATGACGAGTACACAGACTTGCCTGAGTAACTTGGCTCGGGAAAGGCTGAGTCCCCAGCCTGAGCAAAACTTTTGTTGCAAGCCAGTATGGTGTCGATCTTTTTGAATGGTGAGGGTTCCAATTGTTTTTGGATTTGAGCATGTGGAATGTGTTCCCTTGGAGTGTTTTCTCTTCAAAACTTTCTATTGTCGTTATTTGAGTTGAAATCAAAGCAAATGTTTAGTGGAATTTCTTTTCTTCTGTAATTTCTATGCACAATAATTAGATAATTCTGCAAATCTTTATCTTGATTTTTTTCTTTAATTTTTTTAGTATGATTGGACTTGTATAAAGTAAGAAGTTATGACATCTGCACAAAATGGTTGACCCACATGTTGGATGCCCCTTACATTGATATCTTAAAAGTGGGATGTGCACCAAACCCCAGAGTCAGAAGAAGTGGGTTTTGTTGGTCATCATTGCAAATTAAACAAAATGATGCCTATGTAGTCCCACTAACTGCAAAACCAGTGGGACTAGAGGTGGGCCTCCCCTGCTAGGCCTTCCCTGGCCAGGGTGTCTGCTACATGGTTGGCCTCCCCACAAACGTGTAAAGGTGGTCTGCAACTGCCTGCAAAGGTAAAATATGTGGTCAAATATGGGTAGTACTGTCTATGGGTATTGAGCTCTTTTGGAAGCCCAGAGAATGATATTCTTGGAGTCTCCCTCGACAATGATGGTGTTGGCAGGGCATTCCCAGTTCGACTGACTTTTTTCAAGCCTTCCAGCAGTGGGATGGTCTTGGCCAATGTTCCGTCAACAATGCCTGTGTACACAGCAGGAAAAGAGGGTGTTTCCATAACTGCCTCCAGGGATAGCTCTGTAGCCAGTAAGTCCTGAGTTACCAAGGCAGCATCCGTCGACATTCAGCTTGTTGAATCCATTTTCCTGTATATTCACTTTTTTTTTCTTTAAAGATGCAGCCTTTCCTTTTTCTCCAGATGGACCAAATTGTGGTGAGCCCTGAGGCTCACTGTAGGGAAAGAGTTCCAGCAGGATATGGAGGGGTGAGGAAAACTTGAAGCGATTGCTGTGATGCTCCAAGTTTTGCAGTAGACCTGCCCAAAGCTGTGATGGTACATTGCAATGGATAAAGAGGTGGCCGTTAGATTCTTCAGCCTCTCTGCATTTCTTCTGAGGTGGAAGCCTCCCTGTTGGAGGTGATGAGAGCTCTATTGGATAATACCAATCAGTTGAATGCTTGAATTTACCGGGAACAATGACATGCCACTCTAGGTTGTCAATGAATTGGATGGGCTTCCAGGGTTTAAGGGTTTTCTAGGAGGATACTATGAACGAACCAGAGTTTGTGGGGGCTCAGTCCCCCACTGCAAGTTTTCCTATCCATGTCCTTGTCAAACACACCCTCTGGGGGGATGTGACTCTGAATCTCAAGTTCTCCGTGAACACAGAGCGGCTGGCTCTGATGTTATTCCAACGCCTCGAACTCTGGGTTGTGGTATTTGTGCTGATCACTTCCGCCAAAGTTGGTCCTGTTGAGCCCAAAATGCCCACAACTATTTGCTCAAGAGTGCTGTTTGCAGTCTCGGAGTCTCCAGATCCCTAGCCCTCCATTTTTATTTGGTGTGCACAACTTGCTTCAAGCAACAAGGTCGAATTTCTTGAGGCCTCCTGCTTCGGAGCAGAGGGATCCCTCCTCATGCTTTGTACTTTGGTGGAGATATGGGCCAGCATGTGAAAGAGGGACATATGGTAGACTAGGGTGCTTGATCTTTTATTATGGTGATCGTACCTCCCAAAGGCATGTATCTACCTTTTGAAGTGTCTGGACTCCTCAGGATTTTCTCAATGATGGGGTCTCACAGCTCCTTCTTGGGCTTTTCTAGGCAAAGTGGGAGACTGAGGTAGTTAGAGGGGGTGGGCTCTATCCGACAGCCTAGTTGATGAGCTAAGTTGTGAAGGTGCTAGCGATCAACCTCAACGCCCATGACTTCTGTCTTGGCCTTGTGTACGCTCATGCCTGTGGAGAGTTTGAAGCACCACAGGAACAGCCAAATAGAGTAGACTTCTCCTGGATTGGCATCGTAGAGAAAACTAGACTGTGAGCTGCATAGAGAAAGTTGACAATTTCTGGACCAGATCTGGAAACCTCGAAACCCCATAGTATGCCTCACTCAAATAGCTGGGAGATAGAATGACTGAAAACCTCTGTCACAGTGACTACTAGGAAGGGGACAAGGGGCAGCGCTGTTGCAGCCCTCTGGAAGCATGAAAGTATCCATCAGGGCTGCCATTGCCAAGCAATGGGTAGTGAGGAGAGGCATAGCAGTCTTTCATCCATAATCCCCATATTGCACAAAGCCCATTCTGGTGAGGAACTTCTCAAGGATGGACCAATCAACATAATCATAAGCTTTTATGATGAACGAAAAGCAAACTGACTGTCAGAAATAACAAGGGTAAGGACTTTGCCAAGGCAAGAGGCCAGGACCTTCGCTAGGACTTTGTTGGTACTTTTCAGAAGACTCATACGTGTTAAATCTTTTATCTTTGAGATCCTCAGTTCCTTCTCTCATGGGAACCAGGGCAATGAAGGTGGGGTGCATTCTCTCGTTTCTACTGATGAATTCTACTGCATAGTACTTCCGTGGAGAAAGTTATAATATGTTAGGGGTGATGGAGTCCCAAAACCTAGTGCAAAGGACAACTGAAAAGCTATCTGGACCCAGGGCTTTAACTTGGCCCAGGTCAGGCATAGCTTGTGGTATTTCTGGTACGGATAACGACCAGGGTGATTGTTCTAGAGGCTGACCCAGAAAAGACTCATCCATCCATGGTCTTGGACCGGGAGTGCTCAAGTAGAGTTTGCTAAAGAATCAGACAAGTGACCCTTTTAACATGTTGGGATTCCTCAAAGGTCCGATTGCCCACTTTGATGTGGTTGATAGTATTCGCCTTTCTTCAGCAGTTTGTGATTTTGTTGAATAAAGTGGTATTTTTATTCCCCGCCTTTAACTACTTGATTCTCAACCTTTACTACCAGCAGATCTCCACCTGCTTAAGGGTGGCGTTGCATCTGCATTTGCATCGATCCTTCTCTCTCTTTCAAGTTGGGAGAGGTTCGTTGACTTCTTTAAGGAGTTGAGGCTGTTAATCACCTTCCTAATGGTCTCTGTTGTTGATTGGAAGTCACCCAGTAGGGTTTTGCTCCAGAATTTGGGGAAGTTTCTCCAAAGATGGTGATTCTTATTCACATTTTGCCAATATCAGTCTCTCATGCATACCCTTGTTCTTCATTATACCTCGAATCTAGTTTCTATGGGTAGTGACAGTGATTATAATAAAAAACATGTATTTAGCTTTTCTGATCAACGGTTAACAATGGTCACCAGAAGCAAAACAAAGTTCTGTACCTCATATCTTTAGTCATTAATTATTGGCATTGATAAATTTGGTTTAGACTGTAGATTTTCTGGCTTACTGGCTCATTAGTCTAGTTCACCCTACTATTTAGTATGAACGCTCACTGTTTGTATGAGTTTTTGTTTATTTAATCATGGAGAATTAGCAAATTATTTTCATCATGGAGTTTGTCTTTTGTGTGTCTTTTAGTTTTTTTTTCTTTCTTTTTGTTTTTTTGGGAAAAAGAGTTTGATTGTTCTTTTTTGTCTCCATTGTTGTGCAGGTGTCCATTCCAGTCATGTAAGAGTTGTTGTTCCAGAGCTCAAAACCCTTGTTACATTCATGGTAGGTCCACTCAAAATGTGTACTTTGATATGTGATTTTAAGGTATTCCATATCTATCAGCAGTATTGTTTACTTTCCCTCTTTGATGAGAGACGTGCCCCACCCACACCCCATCTTCTCTCTCTCATTCATTTTTTGGATGCTGCAGTGTTGAAGGGTAATGTCACTCTCCCGGACAAGGTGCCATCTTCGAGCTCTCCTTTGCCAGACCATCAGCGAACAGATGTATCTTCATCTACGTAAGTTTCAGATTATATTGTTGCAATCACACAAACATACCCCCCCAACCCCAAAAAAAGAAAAAAAAGAGGGGCTTTCTCTCTCATATTTGACCCATTATAGAGGAAGGCATTAACCGGATTAACCATTTATGTTAGCTACCATGTAGAGAGAGAGAGAGAGAGTTTTGCATCCCTATCATCAATAGTAGCCTGAAGCTCCTTGAAATCTATTCTTATCCACCAGGGCTTCCCTAGAAAAGCCTTCTCAGCATTCCACCCCCCAGAACTAGAGAGAGAGAGTGAATGTGTGTCTTTTGCATCCCTTTCATCAATATTATCCTGAAGCTCTTTTAATCTTTCTTATCCTCTAGGGCTTCCCCAAAGACTTCTCAGCGTTCCAACCCCCAGAATTACTATACCCCCTTTATTGGAGCCAACATTCCTGTGCGTTCAAGGAAGCCCCTGTCCAGAAAGGCACGTACTCTTTTAACTTTTACTCTTGTTTTTTGAACTACCATTTGTTGCCCTCAGTATTGAGTTTATTAGAACTCTCTAATTAAACCTTACTAAACAGGAAATTGCAGCCATAAACGGTTGGAGGTTTTCCAAACTCAAAGAGCACACGGACCAAGACATTGAAGCCGAAAATGAGGCATTTGAAAGGTATATGCAGAATGTTTCCTTACTGGAAGAAGTGTTTTCAATTCATCCCCTAGAACCTGGCCTAGATAACCAATCTGAACCAGCACCCACCTCTCTTAAGAAAGACTATGATACCCAAAAATTGTTGTCATGTATTAAGGCAAGGATCAAGGCTGATCCTCAAAGAGGAGAGAGAAATAAGCAAAAGTTGCAGGGGCTTATCGATGCAAGATTGGGGAAGTTGCAGAGTGGGGATTCTATTGAAGAAGCAGGTGAGAAGGAGCCCAAAAGGACTAAGAATGGGGATGACAAGGCATGGTTTGAAAGGCCGTTAATAACGAATGGATCTATGGATAGTAAAGCTAGAATCGAGGACGAGCTGAAAGCCTGCTTGGCCATGAAGCTGCAGTTATCAGGGGAAAAACCTAGCTTTTTGAAGAGTGAAAATGATGAAATAGTAACAGGCCAAGAATCAAAAGTTGTGAACCCCAGGTCATTTGGTGTTGGGAAACTATACACTGAGGCCCAAGTTACAGATGATGAACTCTGTAACATAAATGCCAAGTTCTCATCGTGCCATGACTTTGAGGAACTTTGAGGCTTTCAAAGCTTGAGATTGCAATAGGAAAAAATTTGAAGGGCTCTGAGTCTTTGAAGCCTGAGTTCAAAGTGGAAATGAAAATTTTTTTGCATTGCTTTGAAGCTTGAGATTAGAAGGAGAAGAAAATTAATTTGCATTCTGCAAAAGGACCATAGTTTTGATAAATTAGGGTTGCAGCAAAAGGGCGATAGTTGTGATACATTGGGGTCTCAGCAAAAGTGCTCTCGCGGAGTATTGAACGCAGTAGGATAGGTTTTTGAATGATCAATGAAGGTCATGGAGTAGAAGATGAGCTTAATGGATGGCCGAGATTAGAGGCATATGCCATTTGTGTATAGCCAACCCTCCATTGGATCTGTCTTAGAGATTTGTAACATAGTACGGAGATGGTGTTGCCCTTACCATGGGGCATGAGCTTGTTATACTATTTGAGTTTTAACCTTTTAGGAAGGCGAAGAAGGCTCTATATGGATTGTACGTGAAAAATAGGGATGTCTGCTGCTCCACGACCACGAGTGCTTTGTACAAATGTAAGAAAGTTGCTGCATTAGATGTGATTCTTCTTTCAATCTACTAAAAATTTGGGAAGAGAGATGCATGCATCCTGTTGCTATAAGCGTCAATATTCAGGTTTTACTCTGAATCTCCTATAAAGGGCATGTATGTGCACCTGTGAGAGAGAGAGACTAATATTCTATTGTGAGAAGCCATGGTATTCCTTCGGGGCATTTACATAAAGTTTGAATCATGCCTGCGGTTGATTTTGCGACACGGTTGGGCCCTGTTCTGTTGGGCTATGAGATAATACAAAACCTGGGTTTTCTTTTGGGAAAATTTAAACTTGTGTTTTGGGTACTTAATTATTGGATGGTGACCAAACTGAGCTTTTCTATCAGCCGGTGGTTTTAAACTTGATTTTGGGTATATGCCTGACCTTAAATTTTCTCTTAACCTGTTTTAAGCTTGGGTAAAGGAGGTAGTTTGTTTTAGGCAAGTAGCGATAGTAAAATAAGATAGTTATATCCTATTTGGATAAGATAGATGAAATGTATGTTTTATATTTCCATCGGTTGGAGTTTCCTTTTTGTAAGCTTTTATCTTTTGTTTTTTTTCTTAGCCAGGTACGTATATTTCCTTTTATTAGTTTTAGGTTATATGTTTATTTTTGAGGATCTATTCAAATTGTTATTTATTTAATTTTTTGTTATTTTTCTATAAATCTAATTTTTTTCTTTAAAGGTCTCTCCTTTGAGGTAGGGATATTATGGAAAATTTTATTTTGTCTTCTTCACATAATACTTTTAAGGAATCAAATGTGCAAAGTTATAGGTGAGCAGAATGTCCATCGTTCAACTGGACTGTCAATTGTTTGAAGAACATTAAGTTTTTATTTTGAGATCCACTCGAGAAACAAAAACGAAGACCTAAATCCAACAATAGAAATAGGGTAAAAATAGGCCCCCTAAAAACTTACAATTTAAACCTCTAAAACAGCATAATAACGAGAACAAGTCCAGAATAACAAGTATCGCACAACCACTCGACAACCTTGTGCCTTGGTCATAATCAAAAACAATATATTGTGTCATCATCGATCAAGGGGAATTTCCAGGGTTGGTAGAATACACTACTATTGAGGTCTAGAATAATTATAAGCTTATCATCCTCATGGTATTGCAGTTCGATTAGCAGTTAAGAGGATTTTATCTTGACGCAATGATCGAACTTCTTTTGCAACTTCTGAGAAAGACTTTACTATTGAAGGCACTTCTCTTTTTCATCTTCGACCTAGACGATGATGGGTTTCTAGATCTCTTGCCACTGGTTTTAGATAACCTTGAAAACTGCTCTACCTTGTCCTCATTTTCCCCTCGGCCATTTGCTCTTCCACATTAACCTCCGTCTGTGATTTGTCATCATTTAAGTTCCTCGAATCAGTGTGTCGCGCTCTACTTTCTATAGACATCACCACCGGCCTAATCATCACCGATAACTCTTGAAGATAAGGTAGGGATCTCTAGGGAAGGCGTCTCCCTTCTAAAAATAGGGAAAGGTTTCTATACCTCCTTCACAGCATAGTAGATATGTACTTTCCTCTTCATCCGGTCATCCAATTTAGATCAAGTGAGTCACTCACCATTTAATCTAGATTCGACATCTCAGAGTATTTTATTTTTAATTGTTTTTATATGAATTGTATTAATAGGAAATTTGGTATGTACCATCTTTTCAATGAGGCGCAACTAAGAAAAATATTAAAAATATTTTTTTGATAGAATATAATGGCCTAAATACCCCTTAAATTTTTTAGAGGTATTTTGATCATTTTATTTTATTCAGAATATTTTTTATAGTTTTTAAAGTTTGAATTTAAGATATAATAAAATAATAGTAGATTATATAATATAATGTACAATAAATAGTACATTGAAAATTTTTATTTTATTCAAAGTAATTTATTAAAGGAAAAAGCTAGAGTTTGCCCATTAGCTCATATGAACGTATGAGCTTAACGACCCAGATTGAATCTGAGCCGATCTGACGATCATTGATATCCGGTAGTGCTTGAATTTTTTTCTTCTACAAATCCAAATCACTTGAAATTTTAGGTGTGTGTTTTTCTCATCAAGGCACACTTAATAAAAATATATAAAACAAATTATTGTGAAAAGTAAAATGACATAAAATACCTCCCAAAACTTTTTGGTGGTATTTTGGTCAAATTATTTCATGTAAAAAAAAAATTTGATATTTTTCGAAGATTTACCTATTTTTGAAGAACGTACGCCTAAAATTTCAAGTGATTTGGATTTGTAGAAAAAAAAAAAATTCAAACACTACCGAACATCCGTGATTGTCAGATCGGCCCAGATTTAATTTGGACCGTTCAGCTGATATGTTCATATGAACTAATAGGCTAACCCCAGCTTTTTTCTTTATTGAAATAACAATCGCCAAAATTAAAATTAAACAAATTACACAACTGAACAATATTATACATAACACAATATCCACATGCAACAACTAATAAAATAATATTATATAAAATATATTAGTTTTAGATAAAATAATATCCGCATAAAATGAGACCCGAATGCGAAACGATGATTTCATCCTCTCCGTAGGAACAACTCATGCTAGCTTTTTCTTCTCGATATTATACATAACACAAATATCCACATGCAACAACTAATAAAATAATATTATACAAAATATATTAGTTTTAGATAAAATAATATCCGCATAAAAATGAGACCCGAATGCGAAACAATGATTTCATCCTCTCCGTAGGAACAACTCATGCTAGCTTTTTCTTCTCGATGAGTGTTGGTAAGTCCAACGATATGCACATCTTCATATCAAATTTCTTTTCTATATGTCATTGTTTATTGCTTAAATATTTGGGATTCTATACAAGGAGACCATTTACCGATGGTATATGGAGTTCATAATTACTTACAACCATCCAATGTGAAATCAGTTAATTTGGGTGTTTTATTAAGTTCAAAAAGAAAAAAATTAATTTTTTATTTGATCAATGAAATGAATGCAGCCACTCAATTTTACATCCAATAGACAAGATTAATCGTGAAGAAAACAAAAAGCTTACTCTATATTTTCTAAATATGTTATGCTCTCGTCAATGCTTACTTACTCTATTGGGTACAACCCAATCCAGGAGTATCTCTAGACCGCAAATTATGTGGATGTGACACTTTCAACGCATAGGACCAAGCTCAATAAAAAAAAAAACCTAAACTGCACTCTCTGTGTGGTTCGAAATTTCATATTGAAGATGTCTTTCCAAGTCTTATGCCCGGGGGAGAAAGCCGTATAGTATGCTCCCATGGGAGTACATTTTGTAAGAGAGAGAGAAATATATGGCTATGCTGTACATTTTGTAAGAGAGAGAAAGAAATATATAGCTTGTTCAAGACTGCCGCCTAGAAGGGCGTTTAACGGTCTACCCCAAAAACTTCATGATGACAAGGCGCACGCCTCAAAAATTGGGCTGGGCCGGGTCTTTAATAAGAATTTTTTTAAAGAAAACAGTCTATATAAGTTTTCAATCTTAAAATGTAGAATTAAAATGGCAGATCAAAAATCCATCATAAAAAGTTGTTTAGATATCGAAAAACCCTTTAATTGATAATCTCGATATCGAAATATATGAATATAAAAAGATAAAAAAATTTCAAATTCGCAAAATAGTGTATCTTGCAACACATTATTTGGACGGTTTATTTTCAAGATTTTCATGGGTTTATAGATCTACTTGATTTAAACCATTTTTAAAGTTTAAAATTTTATAGTTAAAGATGAAAATATATTCTCAAGCCATCATAAAATAATTTTATATCAAAATTACACTTATGGTAAAATTTAGATGTATGCCTTAATTGGATTGTATACAATTGCAACATTATGCAAACCACACCTTTTTTTTTAAAAGCATAATATATAGTTCAAGCCCGACCCTGCAAAAAGATATTTTTCGTACCTATCAAGCCCAGCCACAGGCATTAACGTGCAACCAAACCTACACAAAAATTGGGCTACCCTAGAAGCCGGCGGCCCGGCATAGGCCCATTAACATGCTTAGATGCGGGTAAAACTCATGCATGACAGATAAAGAGAAGTGCATTGCCAATGAAATGAAAGGGCAAGTGAGTGGAGAGTAGGTCACTAAGAGAAACGTGAAGAGGAAGAAGAGGACAACATAAGGGCGCTGGCCCCAAGAAAAAGTTCATATAAAATTGACTTCTTGAGATGCACCTAAAAAAAGTCTATAAACCTTTTAGGTGCTGCTTTTATTAAACGTTTTCACGTTTTGAGATTTTGTGAAGGACGGGGTTTTTATGAGTAAGCCGAACCGTACTATACATATGCGGCCCTTTTCTAAACTATTTTTTAAATGGATTTTTAATTTACAATTTTAGGGATTTATGATTTAGATTGAGATGATCATGAACAAGAAAAATAAAGAAAGAAATTTTATATTTAAAATGTGAGCGTTTTTTTTAAAGACTTGTAAAGATGGACAGCGGGCTCTTGCATGAAGGACTTTTCGTTTTGTGAAAGTTGTTATAAACTTTTCTTACGTGATGTTTTGAAATTTTGTAAAAGTTGTTCAAAACTTTTCTGGAGAAGTCGGCAGTCGGCAGTCGGCAATAAAGTAGGGTGGAATGAGTATGTGAATCCTCTTGTCACGTGTATTTAATTCGGACTTAGAGAGAGAGCAGATGAGAAGCTCAATCATTGAGGTGAGAAGACAGTGCCAATAGTAATTCAAAATATTGTTATCGTTTTTATTCAATATTCTAATTATAAAAATGAAGATAAAAGGTCAAATTTCATATTAATGTTATTTTTAAATGAAAAGCAAGAATTTTTACCCTTGGATTAGGCTGGTTCAATATCAACCATTAAAAGGTCCACCTTGTAAATGTCTACAGCATGTGGACGTAATACCAACTGTGTAGGTAAATACAGACTATTTAAAAAAAAAAAAAAAGGGGAAGGTAAATACGGAAAAATGTTGCGAGCGAGCTCCACTGCCTATATCACGAGCTAATGCGACTGAGGTGCTCAAATCTTGGTGATTTATGGAAAACGGCTCTTAGGACATTTATTCATTTTTTGATCAATTTCATAGTTAGGTGTAAGAATAGATTTTTAAGCGATTGTAAGGGTTTTCAACACGAGAACTGCATCTTTTAGCAAGCTTTACACATGCACATTACTTTGATTATTTACTGCCAACGCCTCATACAAACTGCACGCTTTAACTAATTAATTAATAATTATAGTAAAAAAAATATATGTATGG